TTTTTTTTTTTTTGAAAAGCATGCCATTTTTTAGAGATCTATCCTGGTACTGGTTCCTGCACCTTGATCTATGTTCAGGACAGAATTTTATTTGACAGAGTTCAGTGTAGATGGCTGTGTTGGTTTGTGGTGGGTTTCATATTTTGCTGGAGCCACTGTGGCTTGCAGATTACATGGTGGCTTTATACTCTTTCCAGTGGAATGGCACCTACATCACCTCAGAATGAGCTTGGATGTGTGTAGGTGATGCATATATGGATATTTGTTCAATTTTTCATTGTGGTTTCAGACTTCCTTTTCATAAATCTGTTGGACCTTGAGATGGGTTAGTATGTGTAAATCCTCTGGAAGGCAAACTGAGTGAAGTTTGTGTTATAAACTTCTAGGAGCTTAGCAGTTCCTGCCTCTAAAATATTTTTTTTCTCCTTTTGACAGAGCTTTATACTGATTTGATGCCAGTACAAGTTTTAGCTTTTGGCTAAACAGTCTTCATTTTTCTCTGTAGATAATCCCAGTGGACAAATTAGTAAAAGGAAAGTTTCAGGACAATTTTGAATTTGTTCAGTGGTTCAAGAAGTTTTTTGATGCAAACTACGATGGAAAAGACTATGACCCTGTAGCTGCCAGACAAGGTCAAGAAACTGCAGTGGCTCCTTCCCTTGTTGCTCCAGCTTTGAATAAACCGAAGAAACCTCTCAGCACTAGCAGTGCAGGTAAAAAGAAAATGACTGTTTCCGAGTAACGGTAACCCAGGTATTCATTCATTCAGCAGTCAACCAGCATTTGTTGAGTAGCCATAGGTTCTGCTCTTAGGGGGCACAGTCCTTTCAGGGCCATGAGACCATGTGGCAAGAACATGGATTCTGACATCAGGCCCATTGTATTTATTTGTTCTTAGATCTCTGTATCCCTGTGTAAACCACTTCACTTGCCCTACAGTTTCTTCCTCTGTAAAGTGGGAATTTTCATGCTTGCTCTAGTGGCCTGAATGAGTTATTGTATGTCGTTTTGCGAGGGCTTTTTAGTTACATGGAATAGAAATCCCTTCAGGCTCACATGAAGGAGAGCTTTAGTTGGAACACAGGGGCATTACACAGTACCCTAGGGTGGGAATCTACAACCAGGCCTGAATTCCCAGGCAAGGCAGGAGCTTTTTAGGTCTCTTAGAGACTGTTCTTGGCTGCCTGCATCTGCAGACCAGCTTTCTCTGCTGACTGGTGGCTTCCTTGCCCCTTCCTGGAACTTTAGCTGGTAAGTGACTTTGGCTTGCTATGACAGTAGCAGAATCTAGGAGGCAGGGAAAGGCTATTTTTAGAGACCTTCAAAAGTTTTTGGCTTGGGTGGATTTTCTAAAAAGTGTTTGTAATAGTATATTCATGGCATACACACACACACGTTAATTCTTCCTTTTCCAGAAGGTGGTAAGAGCATAAGTTAATGTTTCATAGTAGTACCTTGTGAGAGGCTGATCCATCTGGTAGGTGGAGAGGGATGTTGAGTACTTTTTTATTTTTAATAGCTTTATTGAAATGTAATTCACATGCCATACCATTCACCTGTTGAAAGCGTACAGTTCACTAGTTTTTGGTATATTCAGAGTTGTGCAGCCATCATCAGATCAATTTTAGATCCTTTTTGTCACCTGAGAAGTGAAACCTCATGTCCATTTACAGTCATTTCTTATTTCCTCCTGACCCTCCAGCCCTAGACAACCACTGGTCCGCTTTCTGTCTTTATAGATTTGTGTATTCTGGACATTTCCTACAAATAGTCATAAAATAAGTATTATTTTGTAATGGGCTTCTTTCTCTTAGCATAATGTTTTTAAGGTTCATTGATATCATAGCATATATTCACATGCTGTTACTATTTATTGCCAAATAATGACCTATTGTATGTACTCATCTGTTCATCATGGGTTGGGCAGTTGGCTTGTGTCCACTTTATGGCTGTTGTGAATAAAGCTACTGCTGGACGTAGTTGTTCATTTCTCTTAAGTGTATGTCCAAGATTATATACTCTTGGAGGGGAATTGCATGGTTGTGTGATAACTATGTTTAACCTTTGTGGAAATTCCTAGTATCCAGGGCAGCTGTACCATTTTACATTCCCATCAGCAGTGTATGAGAGTTCTGATTTCTCCAGCTATTGAGTACTTTTATTCTTTAGTCCTTTAGAATGGGAACAGTAGAAAACCATGTACATCTCATGTTTCAGATGCTGCTGACAATCTAGTTGAGACTTGTATTAAGCTTTCAGTCCTTAGGGTAAACATGTATTGGGGAGGGCCATGCAAGGAAATGGCTGTTACTGTAGGTGAAAGGCCTCATGGTTATTGAATTTGGGGTGTCGGGAAGATGAGATGTGTCTGTTGTTAGGTGCCATCAAGGTGGTTCTGACTCACACCATACAACAGAACAAAGCATTGCTCGGTCCTGTGCCGTCCTCACAATCCTTGCTGTGCTTGAGCCTGTCATTGCAGCTACTGTGTCAGTCCGTCTTGAGGGTCATCCCCTTTTTTGCTGACCTTCCGTTTTACCGAGCACAATACCCCTTCCCAGGGAATAGTTCCATCTGACAACATGACCAAAGTAGGTGAGATGAAGTCTGACCATTCTCGCTTCCAGGGAGCATTCCGGCTGCACTTCCTCTGGGGCAGATTTGCTTGTTCTTCTGACAGTTGGTGGTATTTTCAGTATTGTTCACCAATACCACAATTTAAAAGGCATCAACTTTTCTTTGATTTTCCTTATTCATTGTCCAGCTCTCACATACATGGGGCAATTGAAAATACTATGGCTTGGGTTAGGTGCACCTTAGTCTTCAAAATGATATCTTTGTTCCTTAACACTTCGGAGGGGTCTTTTGCAGCAGATCCGCCCAGTGCAATACAATATCTAGTTTCTTGACTGCTGCTTCCAGGGGGGTTAATTATGGATCCAAATAAAATGAAATCCCTGACAACTTCAGTCTTTTGTCTGTTTATTGTTTGGTTGCTTATTGGTCCAATTGTGAGGATTTTCGTTTTCTTTATGTTGAGGTGTAATCTACACTGAAGACTGTAGTTTTTGATCTTGATCAGTAAGTGCTTCAAGTTGTCTTCACTTTCAGCAAGCAACGTTGTATCATCTGCATATCACAGGTTGTTAATGAATCTTCCTTCAATCCTGATGCTGTGTTGTTCTTCCTGTAGTCTGGCCCAGATATTTCTAAGCCTGGTATATAGTACAAGCTTTATAAAATAATTGCTGAATGAATGAATAATGCCGTGAATAATGTTTGCCTTGAAGGATAGACTGTTCGTGATTATTCTAACTTGTGGTTGGCTGCATTACTAGTCTTCCCTGTCTTTGCCTGTTTTTTGCCATTATTATTTTGAAAAGTCTTTATATCCCAGTCAGTTTGATGCTTTGCGTTTAAGCCATTCTAAGCACTTCCTGAAAGAATGACAAAGTTTCAAAGTAATTAGTGGTAAGAGCAGGGTTTACCACCCTTACAGATTCCTCCCCCTTCCAAATCCATGGAGCCTGAAGTGATGAGTTAGGCATTTTACTTTCCAGATGGGGAGCCATGAGTACCTGGCAACAGCTGAGACTATGAGCTCCCTCCTGGTGTGAAGTTTGCCTTAGCTCCATAAAGTGCCCTGCTGGTGGATTGGGTTGGAGCTGGGTTAAGGTAGATCATCTGTATGTACCATGTCTGTTGTACCTTTTTCAGATGATAGCCCTCTACACCCCAGTGGAGAAAACACCTCACCGAAGGACTTATTTTCAGCACAAAAGAGCATGGCTACAATTGGTACTTAACTTGCTCAAGACAGAAAAACCACTCTGGCAAATGGGGGGTTGTTGTCTTGCATGCTGGGTATCCCTAACATTGGTTCCCTTCACGGAGCACTTTGTTGTCTTGTAGATTCCTTTTTGTTTTTGAAATTTCTCATTTTAAAAACTTCTCTGCTTTCCAATGTGATCTATAGATTCAATGCAGTCCTTATGAAAGTTCTAACAGCTGCTTTTGCAGAAATGGAAAAGCCAATCATTAAATTCATATGGAATTTTAAGGGGCCTAAGTAGCCAAAGCAATCTTGAAAAAAGAACAAAGTAGGAGGAGTCACACTCTTCCCAATTTTGAAACATACTGTAAAGCTACAGTAATCAAAACATCTGTTAATGGTATAAGGAGACTTACAGCTCAACGGAATAGAATGGGGAGTCCAGAAGTAAACCTGTGCATCTGTGACCAGTTACTTGTCAGTGCCAACTCCATTCACTGGGAAGGAATAGTTTCCAATAACTGATGCTGGGACAATTGGATCACTCCATGTAAAGGAATGAAGTTGGACCTGTATCTCATACCATAAATGAAAATTAACTAAAAATGGATCAATAACCTAAATCCATAAAACTTAGAAAAAATTTAAGAGTAATGCTTTTGGATGTGGTTTTGACCGTGGATTCTTAGATATAACCCCAAAAACATTTTGCATCAAAAAATAAAATATATAAATTGGACTTCATCAGAATTAAAAACTTTGTGCATCATAGCACTTTATTAGCAAAGGTGAAGAGACAACCTAAGAATGGGAGAAAATATTTGGTAACTATATATCTGATACACCAACCACTCCTCGGAAGGAAGACTGGGCAATCTACTTCCATAGAGATACTGCCTCGGAAACCCATGGAGGGGTGGCTATGAGTCAGCTCTGACTCCACAGCAGTGAGTTTGGTTTTTTGGTTTGGGTGTATCTGATAAGGGTATAATATCCAGAATATATAAAGAACCTTTAACAACTCAACAACAAAAAGACAACCGAATCAGAAATTGGGCACAGGACATGAATAGACATTTCTCCAAAGAAGATATATAAATGGCCAATAAGCACATGAAAAGATGCTCAATTTCATTAGTCATTAATTAATCCCTTGCTGTCCAGTTGATCCTGACTCTACCTGATGGGGAAATGAGGAGTTCTTGCAAAAGGTGTATTGAATTTTTGTATGGAGTAATGTAAAATTTTTGGAAATGGTAGTGGTGATGGTTACCCAACATGGTATATGTAATGGATATCACTGAATTGTACACATAAAAATGGTTAAAGTGGCAAATGGTGTGTGTGTGTATGTAGTGACCTTATAAGACAGAGTAGAATTGTCCCGTAGGGTTTCTAAGACTGTAGTCTTTACAGAAGCAGATTGCCTCCTCTTCTCCTGTGGAGTGGCTGGTGGGTTCAAACAACTGACCTTTTGATTAGTAGCCAAGTACTTAACCACTGTGCTATCAGGGCTCCTTCGTTAGTCATTTAGGAGAATACATCAGAACCACAGTGAGATACACTTCATCCCCACTAGAATGGCTGTTACCAGAAAAATGGAAATTAACATGTTGGCAAGAATACCCTTGTGCATTGTTGGTGGGACTGTAGAATGATGCAGCTATTGTGGAAAACAATTGGGCGGCTTCTCAAAAAGTTAAACATAGAATAACCATGTGATCTAGCAATTCCACTCCTGTGTCTCCCCAAAGACTTGAAAGCAGAGATTTGAACAGATATGTGTGTACCAGTGTTCATTGTAACATTACTTACAATTGCCAAAATGCAGAAGCAGCTCACGTGACCATCAGCAGATGAATGAATAAACAAAAGGTGGAATATCTATACGGTGGGATATGATTTAACCATAATGTTGTTAGGTGCTGTTGACTTGGTTCTGACTCATAGCGACCCTGTGTACAACAGAACAAAACACCACCTGGTCTTGTGCCAGCCTCATAATCCTTGCGACACCTGAGCCCGTCGTTGCAGCCACTGTATCAGTCCATCTCATTGTGGGCCTTCCCCTTTCTTGCTCACCCTCCACTTTACCAAGCATGATACCTTTTTCCAGGGAATGGTCCCTTCTGACAACGTGACCAAAGTAGGTGAGATGAAGTCTGGCCATTCTCGTTTCCAAGGAGCATTCCGACTGCACTTTTTCCAGGACAGATTTCAGCCATAAAGAGAAATGAAATCCTGGTGCATGCCATGACCTTGAAAATCCTATGCTTAGTGAAGTCAGTCAGACACAAAAGGACAAATACATGATGTCACTTATATGAAATAGGCAAATACTTGGAGACCAGAGTTTATTAGTGGTTACTGGGGGGCAGAGGTGAGGTGATGGGGAAATGAGTTCCTGCAGAAGGTGTACTGCATTTCTGTGTGGAGTAATGTAAAATTTTTGGAAATTGTAGTGGTGACGGTTACCCAACATGGTGTATGTAATGGATGTCACTGAAGTGTACACATAAACATGGTTAAAATGGCAAATGTTTTTTTTGTGTGTGTGTGTGTATAAATCTTATCACAATAAAAAATCCTATTAAAAACCTCTGTTCTTCTCAGCTCCACAGAGGCCCATTTCAACACAGAGAACTACTGCAACTTCCAAGCCTGGCCCAGGTGTGGTGAGAAAGAACCCTGGTGTGGGCAATGGGGATGACGAAGCAGCTGAGTTGATGCAGCAGGTAGGCTCCTTCTGCATCTGATACACAGGTCACTTCAGGGGAAAGGCCTCTTGCTGCACTGCCTTGGAGGCTCCTCTGTGTTCTTGTAGGAAGACGAACAGCCCTTGTGAACATCTCAGCACTGTAAGCGCTGTGAAGGGAACACGGCTGTGGAGGTGGAGGGGGAGAGTTCAGATGTTTCTAGAACCTGTTAAATTGACAGAAACCTATGCCCATAGAATAAAAACTGGCCCATGAAAGAGACCCTTGATGGATGTTTCAGATGGGAGGTGGGGCCGATGGCACAGTCTCTGCTGAATCAGTGGAGATGGGAATTGAGGGAAATTGGTACGAAAAGTCTGGCTCTTTTCCTAATGATGCTGTTTTGTTGTCCCGTCGAGTCGGCCCGACTCATAGCGACCCCTCCTTGGGTTTCCGAGGCAGTATCACTATGGAAGTAGATTGCCCAGTCTTCCTTCCGAGGAGTGGCTGGTGGGTTTGAACCGCCAGCCTTCTGGTTAGCAGTCAAGTGCCTTAGCCACTATGCTACCAGAACTCCCCTTTTCCTAATAGTGATTTGAAATGTCTTACGTCTTCAGGTTAGTTATATACCCTTAGGTTCTCGTCAGAAGTCTGTGGATCAGAACAGATACTGGATTTTTAGAAATTTTCTCATTCAATCCATATCGTCACTTTGTTTGCTTTTGGATGATTCTCTGGATTCCAGTTATTAAATTACAGCTGCCCTGTGATTCTGGTAAAATTAAGATTGGACTTTTTTTACTTTTCTAAATGCCAAGTCCTAAAAACTGTGAGGAAGAACCCTGGTTTAATCCAGAACCTCTTGACACCCAGACCCATGAATTTAGGAGCCTGGGAATGCTGGAGCCTGCCCAAAGATCACAGTTAAAAAATTTATTTTATTTTTGTGTGCCCATAGTTCTTTCAAGGTGCCTTGGGAGCGTTATGGTAAATAAGAGATAGGTCATCATCCCACTCCTTGGATGATGTAAACATCCTCTGGGCACTGTCGCTGGGGAGTACAGAAGTCCTAGAAAATAACTGGAGCCAGACAAGGAGACTTTCCTGTAATGAACTATTTTTAAGCATAGACGTACAAAGGAAGCAGTTTCACAGAAGAGCACAAGAGTGAGGAATTGTTGACGCTGAGGCAGAGGGCCCGCGAGCTGATCGTGTGCCCCTCGGGATGGTGCACAGGTTCTGCAGGGCTGCTGCTCTCTGCTCAGCTCTGTCCCATGTTGCACAGATTTGCTTCGAGCTCTGTTACCTGACTTGCACCAGGGAACTTCTGAACCTGTTGCTTCATGTGTCGAGTAGTTGGCTCAGAGTAGTTGTGCCAGATCATGTGAGCCAATTTACGTCAGCTGCCTAGAGTGGTATTTGGTACCAGCAACACCATAGGGATAAATGGCAGTGAGAGAAATGAAAAAAAGTCAGTTGTGATTATTACAGCCTGGTCTGTGGTCCTGGTAGAGTGAATAGGTTCTGAAGTGTTTTTTAGATGTTCAGGTTTTTTTTTTTTTGGTCTCCTGAGTATGAAACATTGACAAAAAATTGCTAACATCTTTATAGCACTATGCCATGCACTGTACAAAACACTTTTATTCCACTTTTGTAGCAACTCTGCGAGATTTTACAGATGAGGACTGTGTGGCTTAGGGAGGTTAAATAACTTGAGCTGGGATTTGAACCCAGGTGTATCTGGCTCTAGAGCCCAGGCCAGTCACTGATGAATGGCGGAGTGAGTGAGTAGAGGATGTTGTGTAACTTACCTAGAATAATAGAGAAGTTTCTTGTCTTTGCACCCACCATTAGAAATTGTAATTATTCACCAAATAAATATTGCAGGCTTGCACTGGGTGAATTACTATAAGCCCTGGCAAGAAAACCTGGTCTGGCCTGAAAGGGGCTTTTGATGCAGTTGGGGAAGACGGACTTGGTGGCAGCCGGTGTAGTTGGAGTCTTGGGACTTCTTTTCCTGAGGGGGTGACCAGAATTGGATGGTCAGTGCAGTAGAACTTTAGTAGTTGAGGTTAGAGAGATTATGGCCTTAAAGGGAAGGTAGAACTCTCTGATTTCCTGTCTCCAGCAGCACTTCACAAGGATTTCCAGTTTGGTTGGGGGGCTGAGGTGGCAGAGGCTGGAAGTTCACTAACCAGGTACTTCACTGAGCCTGGAAGACTGGCGTCAAAGGCTCAGGACCAGCTGACGCCACAGAAGTAGTTTGTTTGAGGTACATAGGGTTTTAATTTTTTAAAGAAAATTAAAATAAGAGGTATTTAGGCTTGCCAGGGAGCCAGAGTCCTTAGCCACACCGTTACTTAAACCTGGGTGCTTTGGCACATCTCCATGCTTTCTCAGTCCTGAAAATGTGGCCTTGATAAAGGTGTGTAGGTCGGGGTGGGGGGGGAGTAGCTGATGCAGGAACTGGAGCCAGATGAGTGTGTTATGAGAAGGGAAACCAGTACATTCTGCACATATTACTTTGTAGTGGTCCTTTGCGTGGGAAGTCTGCAAGGATGCCACATTCTTCAATCATCCTGAAGAAATTTACTTTGAGTTAATTTTAGTCTAAAGTAGTGCCGTCCAAAAGAAATAGACTGCAAGCCAGCAGTGTGAACCACATCTGTAATTTAAAATTTCCTTGTAGCCACTTTAACCAAAGTAAAAAGAAATCGGTGGTGATAATTTTAATAGCATATTAATTACCTAGTATATATAAAATGTTGTTTTAACATGTACTCAAGATCAGTTTATTAGTGCGATACTTATGTTTGAAGATTTGTACTAGAGCTGTGAGGTCTGGTGTGTGTGTTCTACTTGGAGCCCATCTCAGTTCACACTGGCCGCCTTGCACGTGCTTAGTCGTCACATGTGGCTTGTAGTTACCCTGTTGGCCAGTGCAGGTCCAAAGCATTCTCTTGCTTTACTCAAGAGAAGGTTCTAAGAGTAGCACTAATTACTAGTGACAGGTTTTTAATAACCTCATAAATTAGCAGTAAAAGGAATTCTAGGTCAGAGCCAGGAATCTTAGTACTTGTTCATTAATTGTTGTGGGTACAGCAGTTTACTAGATTAGTGGTGCGATAGCAGCTGTATAAAAGACACTGTCCATATGGTTTGAGTTTGTGGACTTTTTGAGGAGATAAGACTAAAATTTCAGAGTTGTTTTCTGGTGGCTTGTGAGTTAAGTGTGTTGCCTTTTTATGATTTCTTAATATGTTACTCTTCAGGAATTTTCTGTTGCAGAGAACAGATCACTTGGTAACAGATACTTACCTGCATGTGATTGGTACCTAGAAACAAAAGCTACTTAGACTTTCCGATAGGAAGCTAGAAGGTGTTCCCTCCCCCTTGAGAATGTTGCTTTGGCCCCACAAATAGATCTAGAAGGCTAGGTGTCTGCTTTGGTGCCCTTGATGATATGTAGGCCAGAGAAGTTTTTAATGGTTTGTGAGGGTGGCACTGGTGAGACGTGGGCATCTGGGTGGACTCCAAGCTAGCGTTCCATTTTAAGCTGCTTTGGCTTCCCTCTCCTCCTCAGTCACCGATGCCACTAGGCATGTGGTTAGAAGGCCTCTTTGCCTCTTGAATTATGGAGCTGAAGCTCTGATGCAGCTTCCTACTCAGGGTTGGACAACTCTTGCCCTTTTATATCCTTCTTGTACCCAACTTTGGGGCTAGCTGTAGCAAAGTGTGAAGGTGGGGAGAGTGAGGAAAAACAGCTGATTCAGCTTTACTGGCCCCAAGGCCATGGTAGTACTTTTTTTCATTGTGATTTGGGTGAAAGTTTACAAAGCGAATTAATTTTTCTTATAGTAGTTCACATATACTTTGTCTCATGACACTGATGGCTATTTCCCACAATGCAACAGCACCCTTCCCACTTCTTCCCCATAGTTACCTCTTCCCTCCATGCACTCCTGCCCGCCCCCCCCGTGTCTCCCTGTACATACACAGCCCTTCTATTCTCCATGATTGATCTCTCCAAGGAGTGTATCTACCTAATGTAAATGTTCAGCTCATATGCCTGTCTTTTGTTTGGCTGGAAGCCACAGCAGTGGGTTCAATTCCAGACCTGAAGGGCAACCAGGGGCCATAGTCTCAGGGGGTTCACCAGGCTCTATCAGACCAGCAAACCTGATCCCCCCCCCCCTTTTTTTAAATGATTTTGAGTTTTGTTCCACATTGTTCTCCCTGTCTATCTAGGATCTCCTACATAAATCCTCCTCTGAGTGGTTGACAGTGGTAGCCGGGCACCATCTAGTTCTTCTGGTCTCACAGTCATATAGGCTGAGAATCACATGGTGTACCAGTCCCTTGGACTAATTGTTTCCATGTGTCTTTGGAAACATATTCTTCTTTGGTCTAGATGAGGAGAGACCCATGGTTTCATCTAGATGGCCACTTGCAAGCTTTTAAGATCCCAGTAGCCGGTAGTACTTTTTTGAATCTTTAAATTATTTTTTAAACTGATTTCTGGGTCTGATAAGGAATAGTGAAGGCCTGTGAAGAACCTTGTCTAGAACGTGGAGGACTTTGGTGATGAATTTGTAAGTTAAGTGTTTGACAGAATGGGCCTGCTGGCCCTGGTCAGCTGCTTCTCCATCTCTCGATGCTTCTTCACTAGAGATTATGAAGGAGGAGCTTCCTTCCCCCTTGCACAGGGCTTGTTCCCCTCTGCTGTAGCAGGTTGTGCGGAAGCTAGACAAGCTGCTTGCTTTGGTTTTGGTGGCTCTAAGTTCACAAGGTTGGAGTAGATGATTTCCGTAGTGCCTTCTGGCTCTCGGAACTCGTGCTACCCAAACTGTCCTCAACTTGGACCTTTAATTTCCTGCTTTGGCCATCCATGCCGCTCTGTAGCCTTAACATGTAAGTCTGTGAAGGTTTTATGCTTCACTGTGTGCAGTGTAGGAGCTCTGGTGGTGCAGTGGTTAAAGCATTTGGCTGCTAACCAAAAGGTTGGCATTTCGCTCTGTGGGAAAAAGATGAAGCAGTCTGATTCTGTGAAGATTTACAGCCTTGGAAACGCTATGGGGCAGTTCTGCTCCATCCTATAGCTCGCTATGAAGGATTGTGAGAATTGTTACTACTTTCAATGCTCTTGGGTAGATGTAGTCCTGGCCCAGTAAGCACTATACCCTGAAACATGCAGGAACTTCTCAGGAACTGAGAAGCTTCGAGGGGTATTGATTTCTTCACAGCCCCTTTGGAGCTTCTTGGAGGATTATGCTGCATGTGGGTTGGATCTGTTCCCTGCCCCTGCTGTCTTCTTTCCCTTTAGAGACTCTCTGGGAACCTCTCCTCAGATTGTTGTTCTTTGAGAGTTGTGCATAGCCCTGCCCCCAATATATGGGGAGGGTGAAAGACCAGGGACTTTTCCATGTCCAGGCTTATGTTAGTCCTAGCTGTGTTTAGCTACTGTCAGTCATCTTCAGCTAGTATTCCCGTCCCTCCTCACCCTGTTCACTCCTCTCCCCTAATCCCCCTGGGCCAGACTCCATCTAGTCCTTGTTACAGACTCAGTTCGTAACTGATTCCCACCTTGTTGGGCTGGGCTGTGGGTCCTGCTTCTGTATTTGTTTCAGGCTCACTTAGGTCGGGATTCCCCCCTGGCATGCCCTTTCCTGGGAGCTGTTATTATAGTCACTGTTGCTGTAAAGAAGTCCATTTTATCTGAGACTGAAGAAAGCTAACCAACTGAAGTGGATTTTTCTGTTCTTTTTTTTTTTTTTTTCAAAGGAGATAGTAGAAAATAACTTTTAAGAAGGATTTAAATATAGTAACTCTTTGGTAAATTATCAAATAACTTTTGCCACATTAACATCATAAACCACATCATAAACAATGTAAGAATTCTGTCACATCACCTTTTAGCAAAAAAGGATTGTCCAGACTCTTGACACCAAATATTACATGGAATATAATTATTGTCCTTCTTTATATTTAGAAACATACTGTTCTCCTATCAGTTCTTGGGTTTGAGAAACTAATCTGGAATATTGTCAGCTGAAGACCCATAGTATGAAATTTCACTTACATGGTGAATTTCACTATCTTAATTAAATGCTAAGAGTTGCAGTCTGTCTTTGCATTCATCTGATTTGTCTACTAATTGCAGGACATTTCCCTTATCGGTTTTCTTCTTTTACTTATTATGGGCAGAAAATAGAAAATTCAGTTAAAGGTAACAATAAACTATAAAAATGGTGTTTCCAGGGTTCTTTCAGAATGTCCTGAAAGATGATGCAGTCCCTTGAGCTATTACTAAGAAAACTGCCATGTCTCCTTTTGGGTTAGAAGTTTGTATGATATGTACTGATGCATTGATGCCAGGTGTCTCACCCTTATTTATTTATTTATTTATTTTTTAAGTTAGGATTTGGGTGAAGATTTACAGAGTAAATTCACTTTTCATACAGCAGTTCACATATACTTTGTCTCATGTCATTGACCAAAATTTACAATGCAGCA